GGGCGGAGCCGTCGCGGATGCGGGCAGACTCAGGCTGGTTTCCCGTGAACTGCAGCGAAGAGCCCAGGACAGCAAGGGCAGTGGGCGGACAGGTGCTCTGAAGAGCCCAGCGTTTATTTACAGCTGATCTTCCCGATGGGAGGATGGAGTACAGCGGCGGCCACTGCCACAAGGGGTGACTCCTGCCCTGCTGCCCGCTTTACTCGGAGTCTGGGGTGTGGAGGCGCGTGGGTGGTGCCATCTCCTCGTCTACCTTCCAGGTTGGCTGAGTCTGAGCACGCAGCGGGGCCTCCCTCCCAAGCACCAAGCCTTGTTTCCTGTGAGTCCCCCTCTTGGCAAACTCCTCACTGGGAGACCTCCTCGGGTCTGAGGGGCGCAGAAGGTGGGGCCTTCTCTGGGGGGGGCGTGCAGGCAGCTCCCAAAGCAAGGTTGGTTTGGCAAACAGCAAAAGATGGGGAAAGGGTTTCTACGGAGCCAGCAGCACCTGCCTATTCAGGTACCACGCCACGGGAACCTGGCCAGGCCTTTCCACCAGGCGATGGCCTCAGTCCTCAGGCCACCGAATTCCAGGACCTGCCCATGTGTTCCTGTCTCCCTTGAATCCCCCCCTCCGCCCGCCCCGGGATGGTTCTACCAGAACTCTGGGGATTAGCTGAGAACTTAATTGTAGGGCTGTGAAGCCTGCTGCACCTTGGAGTCCTGACCCACCAGGCAAAAGCGCTCTTATAGGAAGATGCTTCCAGACCTACAGACTCCGGCCCTTGCAATCCAGATCCCTGCAAACCCTGCAGAGAGGGGTCTTCAGAGGCCACGGGCCACACTGGGTCATGGCAATGCCGACCTGGTCAAACTTGGCCTTGGTGGTTGGGCCCCTTCTCTGGCTCTGGCACTGTGTGGTGGCACGTGCTTCCAGCCCAGACACTGCCCCTAAAGGCATGCTCCATCCCCACGGGTCCACTAAGGCCGGCACGCAGCCCACATGCCAGGCTTGCTTCATGTTCCCAAGCGTGGCTCTGGAGGGAGAATCACCATCGGCACTCCAGTGCAAGACTAAACCCATCAAAAGAAAAATGTAAAACAGCACTGACTAGAACTAATGCCGTTATTGCTACAAGTGACAGCCAAACAGCCACGCAGAGTCCCAGAGGTGGGTATGACAGACCACCATGACTGTCAAGCAGAAATAAAATGATGCGGGTTTTTACTCTTAAGATAAGATGTCCTCTGATTATCTTCAAGGTACAGCAGCTCACGCGTGCTCCTCACATTCTGCTACTTTCACAGAATGGTCAGTCCCGGGTCATGCCCTTGAGCCCCTCCAGGGAGACAGTGTGGTTCTGCTCTAAAAACGTGAGGTGGAAACTGAAATATGTCAAAACAACTGAGAAACTGCGGTGGTGCTACCTGGCGCGTGAGCGGACGTACAGGGGCGCCTGCCGGCTGTCCCCAAGGGCACTTGTTCCTCTCAAGGAGTTCTCTGGGAGGGCGCGGCCGTGCAGGGAGCTAGCTCGATGCCTGGTTCGGTACTGGATGCTTGGGGATCGGTGGTGGCCAGGAGGGGCTCTCGCCAGTTTTGGTTTGGTTTGAAAAGCAAAGAGGTCCCAGGCCGGGCAGCCGCTGGCGGTCTTGCTGGAAGGGTGGATCTGGGTGGATTGTGCCTCCTCTGAAGGCAAGTGAGACAGAAACCAGTTGAGAGGCTGCTTCCAAGTCTTCCCAGGCCCATGGCTCCTGCAGGGACAGCCTCTGGAGAAGGGCCCCCTGCCCACCCTTTCTGAGGCATTCTGCACCGCTTGGCTTATTTTCAACATGCTACAGCCTGTGCTTGTGTCCAGCCTATGCACAGGAGCTCTTGGAGGCGTGGCTGCTTGGCATCCGAATTGGAGTGGAAGTCAGCTCAAGGAGAGCCAGGTGCTGGCGCTACAGGAGTGTTCCCGAATGAGGCTGGCTGTCCGCTCTAAAGTCCCTGTGGCAGATGAGCTAGTCCCACGCGCCACACCAAGGGCTAACACTCCACATTCCAGAGGCGGGTGGCCTTGTTTGGGTAGTTGATGGCCAGGCTGATGGCAGCAATGTTCTGCAGAGCCTGTGGAGGGAAAAAGAGTTGTCGCCAGTGTCAGGAGCCACTCCCTTGTTCACTGAGCGCTGGTAAGACCCTCAGCTGAGCACTGAGGACGAGGGGACGGAGGAGGGGGGCCTGAGATGACCCAGATGTGTTCCCCTCCCCCAGAGGCCCACAGGGTGGAGGGAGAGAGAAAATGCTTTTAAGAGCACGTGAAAGCTCCAAATGTAGGTAGGAATCATCACTGTCCAGGGGGCAGTCCCAGTGCGGGGGCTCAGAAGGCTGTCCGCAGAGGTCTGGGAAAACACTCTGGGGAAAACAGTGCAAAGATGCAGGTGGGGAAGGGCATGGCACTCACAGGAAACGAACAGCCAGTGCTGGGGACCAGAGGGAGTAGAGAAAACAGGGCCAGGAGGGCACTCAGATGCCCTGGAGGCAAGGCCGGGTCCGTCAGGCCTTCAGGGTCTGGGCAGCAAGAAGGTGGAGGTGGCCGAGGGAGGAAGAGGGGGTTGGCAGGGAGAGGTCTCAGGGAGAAACGTCAGGACACTGGTGCAGTACACTTGACAGGCTGTGGGGAGGGTCAGAAGAGGGTAAGGAGGAAATGGAGACTGGACAGGGGACGCAAAAGGGACCCGCCCACAGGCAAGCCGCCATGCTGAGCTTTGGGGCCAGGACGGCAAATATCACAATTTCGTTACATGGTGTCGTGAAACCTGGGGTGGCAATGTTGGTAGGTAGCTGTTGGGGGTAAGGGAGTTTTTACTCTGCCTACAGGTCTCGGGTGAATTCACACAAACTCTTCGGTATGGGCTGGGGGCATTCCCACTTCCAAGGGTACACGTCAAAGCCTATGGCAAGAAAGACAACCCTTTTCCTGCAAAAGGGCAGTGTGTTCGGAGAATACGTCCAAAGGACAGAGCGCCGCGCTCAAGCAGGGCTCTTGGCTGGGTGTCCCGGCCGGGTGTCCACCCACGGGTAACCCTGTGAGCCTCAGTGTCCCTAGCTGTCTTCTGGGAGTGTTGGGCCACACACATGATGATATTCAAGGAGTCCAAGGTTTTCAAAATATAGTCTGGGGCCAGGGGACTCCCGAGACCCTTTCGGGGTCTGCAAGGTTCATTTTTCACTTTCCTTCTCCTGAGTATACGGTGGAGTGTTCCAGCGCCTGACGTGTGACCTGACTGACTGCAGAAGCGGACATGAGAATCCAGCTGTCTTCTATGAGCACACGTGAGGGGTCTGCAGGGCTAAGCACAGCGCCACCCTCTGCAGGCGTTCCTTTCTTCTTTTCTGGTCACCTATTTGTCCCAGAGCACTCAGTAATTACTTCGTTTTGAAAAGTTAGAGTTGTTTTTCACAAGACGTGTTATTCATGTTAACATGAAATGGGTTCACTACTTAAAAAAAAAAGGTAAAGGTTTAAACTTTTGCTTACTTTTTAAATCGAAAATCTCATTTCTAATGGCACGTATGGATATATGTATAATACACATACCCAAAAGCTTTCTGAGCTCCTCAGTCAGTGAAAAGTGTGAAGCATCCTGAGACCAAACAGCTGTCAGCAGAGGAGTTCCGCTACCAGAGAAGCAACTCACATCTAAAAATATGTGAAATCTAACTCCATGGAAACTTCGAGAATCAGCCAAACTAAATTTAAGGCATCGGTTGTTTTGGTTTTAAAGACACAAATTCTTCTGACCCCGCAGTTTAGAGTGAGTGACTCTGATAAATGGGGCTCATGAGTGCTCTCTGCGCACCAGGAGGAAGTGCAGTCACAGAACTGTAACAAGCTCTGTGTAACCTCCGGGTGGATTCTGTCCTACTCAGACGCAGCGCGCAGACCTTCTCTGCCCTGGCAATGGTGAGATGGTGGCCCCGCAGCCTGCGGGCCAGCTCTGTCGGGGTGGAGAGAGTACCTGTGCCGCACAGCGGAGAAGGTGGTCGTCCGTGGTCAGGGCCAGCAGGTAATCCTGCAGCACGCCGAGCTCCTGCAGAGAGAGCGGGGCTGTGAGCGGCAGTGCCAGATGCACAGTGCAGCTCTCCCAGACCACCCGGGACACCCGCCTGCGAAAGCAGAAGCCTCTCGCGGGTGGACGCTACTCACTCCGCCTGGCACCGCGTGGCACTGCCTTGCTCAGAACCCTGGCGGGAGCCTGACTGGCAGGAGCCAGGTGCCCACTGCCGGGGCCGCCTCTGCCTCCACCTGCCCTTGGGTGAGCAGGCCGGGACCCCTCCTCAGGCCACTTTCCTCATGTGTGAAAGGAGAGGGAAGCTACAGAACTCTGAAAGGCCCTTTCAGCTCCCACATTCAATGAGTCTATTGTGCTGAGGGGAGGGAAAAAAGAGGAGGAAGCAGAAGTAACCCATCATTTTATTTTCCAAAACTCACTGCTGTCCAGGGCTGATCCCAGGCGGTTTTCCCCCACTGGCTCTAGGCCTGACAAAATAGGCAATCTCAGAGCTGACCTGAGGGTTTCCCAGGGCTGGGAGAGGCGAGAGCCTCAGACTCTCAGCCACGCCTGTCCTGTGTGGCCTGTCGAGACCCCTGCCACTCAGGCTCAGATGGGGTGGCGACTTCTGCCCTGGGTAGCAGAGGGAGCACACACACACACACGGGGGCACCGGGCTCCCTGCCCAGACCTCAGGCCTCACCTGGGCACGGTTCTCGGTGACGAAGAAGAGCTCAGTGAGGGCACGGTGCAGGGGAAGGAGGATGCCGGGCTGTGTCACGTCCTCAAACAGGCTGTACTCCATGTGGGTAAAGAGCTGCCACAGGGGCTTCAACAGCGCAAGGTCACACAGGTCACTGCGGGAGGAGCCCCGGAGGTGGTCAGTTCAGTGAGGGCCACGCCAAGGTCACATGGCTGACAGCTGGCAGGAACCACAGCTCAGACCCTCCCTCTCCCACAGCTGGTACCAGTGATTATAAAGCAGTCTCACCTATGCTCCCCACAAAACAGCCACAAATAGTCACCAACAGCAAGGAAGGAAAGGGGCAGAACCTAAACTTCAAAACCAGGCTCCAAGGGAACAGGAGGTCTGGACGTGTGCTCACGTGCATCTTGAAAAATGGATGTTATGGGCTAGACATGGTGGCTCACACCTGTAATCCCAGCACTTTGGGAAGCTGAGGTGGGAGGATCACTTCAGCCTAGGAGTTGGAGACCAACCTGGGAAACAGAGTGAGACCCTGTCTCTACAAAAAATAAAAAACAAAAAACAAAAAAACAAAAAACAAACAAGAAAAAACTAGCTGGGCATGATGGCATCCAGCCACTCGAGAGGCCAAGGTGGGAGGATCGTTTGAGCCCAGAGGTTGGAGGCTGCAGTGAGCCATGATTGCGCCACTGTACTCTAGCCTGGGCAACAGAATGAGACATTTGTCTCTTTAAAAAAAAAAAAAAAAAAAAAGCTATGAAGACTTTCCAATGAGAGTGGGAATTCATCTCAAGATAAATATTAAATGAAAAAAAGCAAGATGTGGCCGGGTGCAGTGGCTCATGCCTGTAATCCCAGTACCTTGGGAGGCCGAGGTAGGCGGATCATGAGGTCAGAGTTCGAGACTAGCCTAGCCAACATAGTGAAACCCTGTCTCTAAAAATACAAAAATTAGCTGGGTGTGGTGGTGGGCGCCTGTAATTCCAGCTACTAGGGAGGCTGAGGCAGGAGAATCGCTTGAACCCTGGAGGTGGAGCTTGCAGTGAGCCGAGATCATACCATTGCACTCCAGCCTGGGTGACAGTGCGAGGCTCCATCTCAAAAAAAAAAAAAAGAAAAACAGCAAGATGTAAAACTACATATACAAAATAAAATTCAAAAATAACCTGCATATACAGTATTTTCTCTATGCATATGAAAAACAACAGTAAACAGACATAACAAAAGATGCCATCAGCAGTTGACCCTATCAGCTTTCTAGGTTTTCTACAATGCTCACTGCTTTAATAATCAGAAAAGAACACTTAAGACAAACGTGATGGCTCATATTTGTAGTCCCAGTTACTCAAGAGGCTGAGGTGGAAGGATCACTGCAGCCCAGGAGTTCATGGCTGCAGTGGCTATGATGGTGCCA